AGTTGAATTTCCTATCATATATTAATCAATTGTTATTTAGAAAATATGATTTTTGAGTTATGGAATCCTATATTTTGATACCAAACCATTATGATTAATAAAAGGATGATTTCTTGGAATAAAGATGGTATTTTAACAACTAAAAGGGATCTTATGTGATGCATGACGGTAAGCTAGGGTGTTAACACTCGATGCTAGGCCGCTGATTGTTATTAGTTATTATGATGATTGATTGATTGTTCATTTTTATGAATATTATGGATTAATGATGATGAATATTCTGGATGAAATAATTGTTGAACTAAGAGTATGAATTGATGAATAATGTTGTTAAGGATATCTAGAAGAACTTTAAGATATACATATTAGCTAATTAATGTTAAGACTATCTAGAAAACATCTAGAATAGATCTTAGAATGAACTTATGAAAACATGAATAGTTGATGAATTAGATATAAATTCATAAATGGGATTCGTAGACCAAACCAGAGGATTACTCGTTGGGAATGCCCGATCCATTGTTGACCAATCATTATATTGTTGTTGCCTTAACTGACTACAGTTAAGTGTCCGAAATCATTTGCCTTAAACTAGTGATGTTGGAACACACTTTGTACGTTAAACTAAAGTCGTGTTCATTTCTGACAGGTTTTGATAATTGCCAAACCGCCGTGGATATGAAGAAGTTTCGTTGAATAACTCAAGGCGTGAAGAATGGCTTGGAACAAGACCTAAAAGACGCAAGGACAAGATCAAGAATTGAAGACTTAGTCGAGTCGGTCTTTTGTGATCAAAACCGACAATTTATTCAAGTCTCGGTTCTCAAAAAGTCAAAACAATTTTTACAAACCATAAAACTTTTTTTGTGCATCAAAAAAAACATTTTTTGATGACTTCTTTTATTGTTAAAAATCCCTGGTCCTTGCTCAGAACCAAAACCACCTAAGTCGGCTTTCGGCGTTCGGTTTTTGGCGCCCGAACCAACTCCGTGGTTTTCAATATTTTAAACCCTGTTTTTATCTCTGAGCATATTTTAAAGGTTCCCGAATAATTATTTTGTAAAAACCACTTTTGTATCTTGGTCAATCAGTTTAACACGTGAAAAACGGTCAAAATCGTACGCACGTGATTTACGACCTAGAGGACTTGGTTTTCACCAAACAAGTCTTGTTTTCACTATTTTATACCATATGCAATGTTTTTCATACTTGGTTTTTACTTTTGGGAACACTTCGTTTTTGGACCTCGGTTTTTCAAAACGGGTTTCAGCTGGCTAGACTTTAGCTGGGTGATAATCGATTATCACCTTAGTGACAATCGACTATCAGCCCTTGCAGCTTTGAACTTCCAAGTTCTGAAGCACGCAATAATCGATTATCAGCTTTGCAATAATCGATTATCAGCCTTTGCAGCCAAAACCCAGAATCTTCAGAGAGGACCAATAATCGATTATCACTTGTTGACAATCGATTATCTGGGTTACCGTTGTCCTCCAACGGATAGAATTTTAAATTTTTGGACAGGGAATCTTTGGATAATCGATTATCATGGTTTGACAATCGACTATCAGCCTGTGTCCCTGAAAAATTTGTCTTCATCCTGTTGGAAATTCTAGCAACGG